ACTTCTTTTGGAAGAACATCGTGTGCCGCTTCGGATTACCTCGGGTATTGATCTCCGATAACGGCAAGCAGTTCCAGGACATCAAATTCCAAGATTGGTGCCGAGACATGGGAATCCAACAGAATTTTACTTCAATCGCACACCCTCAAGCAAACGGTCAGGCAGAAGTCATGAACAGAGCCATCCTCCGCGGACTAAAGGCACGGCTGGACTGAGCTAAAGGATTGTGGGCAGATGAACTACCCAGTGTCCTGTGGGCCTACCGGACCACGGAGAAGACCGCCACGGGGGAAACACCCTTCAATCTCACCTACGGCACCAAAGCAGTGATCCCCGCAGAAATCGAAGTACGTACGTTGCGGCTAGAAGCATACAGTGATCAGACAAACGAAGATGAGCTACGTACCAACCTCGACTTACTCGACGAGGTAAGGGACCTCGCGTACATCAGGACCGCAGCCTACCAGTAGAGAGTAGCTCGGTACTATAACGCCAGGGTCAAGAAGCAATACCTCCGCGTTGGCGACCTGGTCCTTTGTAAAGTTATGGTACTTGAGCTCGGCGCTGGCAAGTTTGGGTCCAACTGGGAAGGTCCTTATCGAGTGAAACGAGTGCTCGGGGAAGGAACATACGAGCTCGAGACCCTCGAAGGGAAACAAATATCTCGAGCATGGAATATTGTCAACCTAAGACAATATTATCTGTAAGAATCGAGTAGGCCACGAGCCACTCCCAAAGCCTAAGGGCCACAAGAAGACTCCAGTTGCCACCTCGGCCTGGGTGAAATCTAGGAGCGGACTACGGGTCCCTCCCTAAGCCTAATGGCCACAAGAAGACCCCAGTTGCCACCTCGGCCTGAGTAAAATCTAGGAGCGGATTACGGGTCCCTCCCTAAGCCTAAGGGCCACAAGAAGACCCCAGTTGCCACCTCGGCCTGGGTGAAATCCAAGAGTGGACTACGGGTCCCTCCCTAAGCCTAAGGGCCACAAGAAGACCCTAGTCACCACTTTGGCCTAGGTGAAATCCAAGAGCATACTACGGGTCCCGTCTTAAGCCTAAGGGTCATAAGAAAGCCCCAGCTGCCACTTCGGCATGGCAAACTGACAAAAACCTGGTTATCTCTAACCCTTAAGGGAAAGACAGCTCGGGTATGAACCCTACGATGTCTATGCCCTTGCTGTTCTTACTTAGCTCGGTAACCCGATAGTCCGGGGTAATCTACGCAACCCAAAGTAACACAACTTCACTCAGTTACCCTCACCCCCAGCTCGGTGGCTCGACAGCTCGGGTAACCTATACATTAAATTGACCAGCTTGGAGTCCACTCACACTTAGAAGTATTTTTGCACTCAGAGATACTCGAAAGAAACTATATTTTATTAAAAACAGAGTCCAGGTACAAGAATTTTTACCCGAGCTCAAAGGCTCAAAATAGTACATTCACAGTTCAGAAAGGGAAAAGATTAAGTTGCAAATATAAAGAGCAAACTACTTCGGGGGCTCGCCACCTCTATCAGCGACCCCCTCAGAGACAGTGTCTGGAACAGCATCCTCTACTCCATCTTCGGGACCTACATCCTCGGAGTCGGGGTCGTCTTTTGACTGACGCACGATGTCGTCAGTAATTCACGAAGTAGTAATGGCGCTCGTGTCCAGCTCGGGGTAGAGGTGCCTGATCAGCCACTGACTGAGCTTGAAGCCCTTACGGTAGGCCTCCGTCATCACATCGTTAAATCTCGAAGAGTTGATGTAATCAATGATGGCTTGGGTCTTGGCCTCCTCAAGAGCACCTTCGAAGATTGCAGTCTTCTCCCTTATGTCCTCCTGGAGGTACCCCACTTCATGCTCCAGCTTCCCCTTCGCCTCCTTGAGGCCTTGCACCTCGAGCTTCAAGGCATCCTGCTCAGCCTTGAGGCTGCTCACCTCGAGCCCTAAGGTCTCCTAACCGACCTTAAGGTCGTTCGCCTCGGCCCTCAACTTGTCCTTGTCTCGGGCCTGCTCCCCCTTCTCTGCCATTAACACCTTGATGAAGTTCTTTTGAGCCGAGGCGTCACTCTCCAGGCGGTGAACCTGACAACGAGCTGCCCTCAACTCAGTATGGGCTGCGAGACGACTTCTCAGCCTCCAGAGCCTGCCTTAGGTGCCGATCTGATTGGAGGGTCAAGGCGCGAATGGCGGTGTTCACTTGCGAAAGGGAAACCATTCAAAAAAAAAGAGAGAAAAAGAAGAGAGACTCACCACCATAGTATGAGTGGCAGCTCGAGCGCCGAGCTGACCAGGAGTGAGTTCGGCCCACTCGCTGACCAACCCCGGGTATGCAGCAAGCGTACTCTTCTTTAGGCTGCACTTGGGGTTCAGGACGGTTTGGCTCCCCTGACCCTCCGAGCTGGAAGCCGTCACCTCTACATCGTTAGTAGAACTCTCGGAGACCTCGGCAACAGCTTCAGCAGGATGAGCCCCGGCAGCTGCAGCATTGGCCTCGGCAATGCTTTCTCTAGCAAGTCTAGTGGGCTCGACAGCAGGCTCGGCGGGCTTAACGACAGGTTCTGCCATCACCTCGGGCCCCTTAGGCACAACCCCCTCTTCCAAGTCGATGACGGGCGTGGCTGCCACCTCGGGCCCCGNCGCCTCCTTGAGGCCTTGTACCTCGAGCCTCAAGGCATCCCGCTCAGCCTTGAGGCTGCTCACCTCGAGCCCTAAGGCCTCCTGACCGACCTTGAGACTGTTCACTTCGGCCCTCAACTTATCTTTATCTCGAGCCAACTCTCCCTTGTTTGACATTAACACCTCGATGAAACTCTTTTGAGCCAATGCGTCGCTCTCTAAGTGGTGAACCTGACAACGAGCTGCCCTCAACTCAGTATGGGCTGCGTGAGATGATTTCTCACCCTCCAGAGCCCGCCTCAGATGTCGATCTGATTGGAGGGTCAAGGCGCGAATGACAGAGTTCACCTGCAAAAAGGAGAACCAGTTAAGAGGGAGACCAGCAAAAAAAAAAAAAAAGGGAAGAAAAAGAAAAAAGAAGGAAACTCACCACCATAGTATGAGTGGCAGCTCGGGCGCCGAGTTGACCAAGAGTGAGTTCGGCCCACTTGCTGACTTCCCCCGAGTATGCAGCCAGCTTACTCTTCTTCAAGCTGCATTGGGGGTTCAGGATGGTTTGGCTCCCCTGACCCTCCGAGCTGGAAGCCGTCATCTCCACATCGTGAGTGGAACTCTTGGAGGCCTCGGCGGCAGCTTCGGCAGGATGAGCCCCGGTAACAGCAGCGTTAGCCTCGGCAACGCTTTCTCTAGCAAGTCTGGTGGGCTTGGCAGCGGGCTCGGCGGGCTTAACGGTAGGTTCCGCCATCACCTCGGGCCCCTTAGGCACAACCCCCTCTTCCAAGTCGATGACGGGCGCGGCTGCCACCTCGGGCCCCGAGGCAGAAGTCTGTGGAAGTCGAGGCTCGGCTGAAGCTTGCGGGGACCCAATGCGCGCCTTCTTCGCCACGCGTTTCTTCCTCTTCATCTGATGGAAGAGCTTCTGATTGTCTATTTTCTCCGCCTCCATGGGACCTGTGGTGAAACATGACATCAGCAACCCGAAGCAAATATATGAGCGGAAAAGCCGAAGTGGGGAAAACCTACCCGGACTTAAGCCCGCTCGGACGAGCTTCTCCTCAGAAGTGAAGTCTTTATAATGCAACCCGAGCTAAGCCAGTGACTGGAGTTCCTTCTTGGTCTTCCCGTCTAGGATGACACCAGGGTCTTGAACGGCTATCCTCCAATCGGTGGGGAAGGGCCACCCCGTGCTACTCCGGACTACGAAGTAGTCCCGCTTCCAAGCTGGGACTTTGCTCGGGAGCTTGTGCATGAGTTTAAAACCCGGGCGGGGGGACAGGTAGTAAGACCGCCTATGCCCGGGGAGAGCGCCCGAAAGGCTCTTCTTTATAGCCAAAATCATACTAAGAACATCTAAATCTATGGAAAGGGAACGGTCGAAACAAAGAGAAATGGACCCCACCACATTCCGTTTGGAGTTCGGGTGGAGTTGGTCCGGGGTAATGTTAAAGTGTACCAATACCTCAACAATTAAAGGGCGAAGTGGAAGTCTGAGCCCGGCTATCAGTTGCTCCCTGAAGATCACGATCTCGTTGGGACCGTGCTCCCATGGAAAGTTGCCGGTGGGAAGACTATATGAGTACTCGCTAGGGAGGCGGAACCTCTGTATGAGTTTCTGAAGCCTCTCCGGGGTCATTATGGAAGGTCCGAACTGATCTGGTTCCTGACCTCGGTGGGAGGTGAACGCTAGATGACCCGAAGTCACCCGTACTTCGGACGGCTGGGTAGCAGAGGGGACATCCCGAACCAAGGTACCTACCTCGGGCTCGTCGATGAGACTGTCTACACTAGACGACATACCGAGCTAACAGAAAGAAACGAACTAGAAGGGAAAAGGAAGCTCGGGAGGACTCACCAAAGAAACACAACCGGACTGGAAGAACAGAACAAACTGGAGGACCCGAGCTAAGAAACCCCTGGCGCGAGCTCAAACGCTAATGATGAAAGCTTTGTGGCGAAGAAAATGGCCAAGGGACCCTCTATTTATAGCCATGACCGTGGGTTCTTCGAGGCGAAAATGATTTAGCGCGTTTTTGACGTCCGCGAAGTCCAAGTCGCGTGAAGTCCGCGCGTAATCCGGACGCGACTCAAATCTCTTTTCGGTCGAGCCAGGCGCTAGACCGGTACAGCTGGATGGAACGCGCGACAACGCAGCACAAACACCGACACCAAATCCACCCGGCGCGTCATGACCTCCCCACGTTGGGTCACTGGCGCCAGCGTAGGGATTGGGGGGCAATTGATGGAGGGTGATTTGACCCGACCTCGTAGCTCAGGTACACGTGGGCGTGACCTTGCTCAAATAGTGACTCAGCATGACAGCACAACGGACGTGAGCACAACTCGGTGGGGAAGTCCCACCGAGTTCAGCATGGCAACTCGGCGGGTAAACTACTCGCTGAAAGCCACCTCGCTCGCACCTCCTCCCCAGGGTTAAGGCACTTCGGGGGGTCCCGAGTTCGGGGCACCCTGACCCCTTTTGAGACCCGAGCTCCTCCCAATGGACCTCGGGCCACTCCCAAGCAAGAACGCACCGATTCTTCCTCGGACGCCCCGAGGCACAAAGACCTCGGGTCAGCTAGCTCGGCATAACCGGCTGTAGGCAGCCCGTCACTCAAAGGACAGCCCATCTCAGGGCAATTCGCAGGAGAACAGCTCGGTATACCATAAGAGGGCTTCCTGCCCGGCCGCCGTACCCGACAAACCTGCGGACAACAGGCATGTCCCCTCGTTGCGCCTGCCACCTTTAGAAAGGCATCCCACACCTGACAGACACGTACCCTGCACGACGGCCCCGCGCCTGCCATCTCAGCCCTACCTGTAACGGCTGTGGCAGGSTGACAGTGGCGGTTATACCTGCCCTGTCAGAAGTCAGAGGGCCTGGAGCAACGGAATTTAGTTATAAGGAGCTTATTCTCAAGGAACAAGGTATCTTCGAATCACCTGCGTAACCTGCACTCTTAGCCTTCGTTCTCCTTTTGCTTCTGGCACTCAGTACTAACTTAAGCATCGGAGTGTTCCCGCCGAGAAACCCCCCGAGAGTTCTTCCTCTTTCCTCTCGTTTCAAGTACCTCTCAGGAGCCAAGTGAGCGCCAGCTAGGAGTGACCGGATTGCGCGACATCAGTTAGAGTTTCATTAGTTAATTTTAAAAAAGGTTCTCATTTAGATGTTTAATTTTTTTAAATCCCTAAACTATCATGTTCTTATTTATTTTAGCTATTTATTATTCGATTAGCTTTTTAAATAGTATTGAATCCCTCTCAGTTGCTCCTATAGATCTTTGTAGATTTGTGGTTGGATTTAATGTTCAAATGAAATGGTAGACATTTCTTAATTTATTGGGGAAAAGAGTGGATGATTTTTATATTTAAGATGAAGTGAGACATTCATGTTAATGAAATGAAACAAGAATTTAGAAGAACTTGTTTTTTATGTTTGTGAAATAATTCTTGTTATTTTAGTTGATCGTGTTTAGAGAAAATGGTGGTATTTTTGGGCCAAATAGGGTTTAAGAGAAAAGGGCAAGGGAAAGAAAATAAGAAAAGTTCAGGTGGACAACTTTATAATTGTAGGCATTTTGTCGTTTGACTTAATGGTCAGGGGGTATTTGTTGCAAAATGAAAGGTTAGGGGGTCATTGTTGTAAATGAATGTTCAGTGGGGGTAGTTTTTATTAACCCAGTTGTTTAAGGTGAAGCCTAAAAACAATGAATGAAAAAGAGAAAAGAGGTGAAGAAGGGAGAAGAAGAGAAGAAGAGAAATGTTACGAAGGTGTGTCTTGAATTACTGTTCACACCAAACACTAAAAATTTATAATGTTGCTGAAAATACAAGTTTACCCTTACCAAACACCAATACAATGTTTCATCATATTGCATATTCTCAACACTCCCCCTCAATCTGATCATAGATATCTATCATGCCCAACTTGCCTAGGTTATTATCAAATTTCGACTTGTGAATTCCTTTAGTAAAGTAGTCAACAAGTTGATCCTCAAATCTTACAAAGGGCAGGCAAATTTCTCTAGGACGAAATGCCTATCCACTTCAATATGTTTTGTATAGTTATGTTGAATAGGATTATGAGCAATGTTTATAACTGCCTGATTGTCATAGTAAAGTCTCATAGGATTTTCTGTTGGAATTCCCATTTTTGTTAATTAGATCTTCAACCATAGCGACTCTGAAACTCGATGAACCATTGCCCTATATTCTGCCTTCGCATTAAAGCGAGCAACAACAGATTGCTTCTTGCTCCTCCAAGATATCATATTGTCCCCAACTAAGGCATAAAAGCCAAAAGTAGATCTTCTTTCATCCATTGACCATGTCTAATCTGCATCTGTGTAGGCCTCAATCTTCAAATGTCCATGATTTGAGTATAACATTCCTTTGCTTGGACACCCCTTCAAGTAAGCGAGAATCCTATTGACATCTTGCTTCTGAGAGGTTTTGGGCTGATGCATATAATGGCTAACCACACTAACTGCATAGGATATATTTAGTCTTGTCAAACATAGATAGAGAAGATGATTCAACCAATCTTTGATAGACCTCTCTATTTGGAAGAACATCTCCATTTGTGGCATTCAGCTTGTGGTTAGGGTTAATTGGGGTTCTAACTGATTTACACCCCAATTTTCCAACATCCTAGATAAAGTAACGAACATATTTGCTTTGATAATTGAAAATACCCTTCTTTGATCTTGCTACTTCATTTCCCAAAAAGTATTTAAGATCACCAAGGTCCTTGATTTCAAACTCAGAGGCAAGAAAAATTTTCAACTAAGAGATTCCAGAGATGTCATCTCTAGTCAAAACAATATCATCTACATAAACTATCAGCATAGCCACCTGATCATCTTGCCTTCTTATGAAAAAAGTGTGGTCAACCTAAGATGAGAGAACATAATTGTCAAGATTGCTCTTTGGAATCTATCAAACCAAGCTTTGGGAGATTGTTTGAGTCCATAAAAGGACTTCTTTAAGCGACAAACCTTTCCCTCACAATTAGAAAGGCTCACTCTTAGTGGCATGCCCAAATAAACTTCCTCCTGTAGATCTCCATTAAGAAAGGCATTTTCCACATTCAATGCCACTGAAAAGCTCACATTGATAACTCATTTTAGCCACTGAAACATATGTTTCCTCATAATCAATGCCACAAGTTTGGGTTATACCCTTTGGCTACCAACCGTGCCTTATATCTTTTAACAGAGCCATTGGCCTTGTGTTTGAGTGTATACACCCACTTACATCCAACTGTATATTTATTCTTGGGAAGAGAAACAAGCTCCAAGTGTGGTTCTTTATGAGGGTATCCATCTTTAAGTTCATAGCTTCTTTCCAATGGGTGATTGCACTGCCTCTATAACACTATGAGGAATAGAAAAAAAAAGAGATAGTTGAGATATAGGTATAATAAGAGGGTGAGAGAGCATCATAAGAAACATAATTGGTGATGGGATAGTTGGTGCACTTTCTCTTTCCCTTGCGGATGGCAATGGGAAGATCAATGTTAGGATGAGTGATGAGAGCATCAATAGGTTCAAGAGGAGTAGGATCATGGTTACTTGAGTCCGGTTGTTTAGATTATGATGGACATTTAGCATTAGGAGTCACCTTTCTCTACCACCTAATAAAAAAATGTTGCCAAGACCGATGACGACACACAGAAGGGGGAGGAGGAGGTTAAGGAATGGTAGTAGAAGATGACTAAAAAAGGGAGTCAAATCTTCATTAACATTCTCCCCTTGAAGGGAAGGACGAGATGACTAAAAAAAAGTGGAGGACTCGATGAATGTAACATCCTTAAAAACATATCTCCTTCCAGATTGAGGATCAAGGTAGTGATACCCTTTCTAGACAGGAGAATAACTAAGGAAAACACATCTAATAGACTTAGGATCAAATTTGTGTCTAGAATGACTCATATCATGAACAAAGCAG